AAAGGGGGGGGAAAACGTTGCTATATTATCATAAATGAAATATTACGACTTTCTAGAAAAACAAAAGCGTGCACTGACTTTAACCTAAATAGAAGTACATTTGCATTCACTATCTAAATTCCTAACTTGGCTTCCACACCCAACACGCAAAATAAATATAAACCAGTTTTCAAACTTCTTTCCAGTGATAATTAATGTTACGAAGAGAAAAATATTTACAGTTGAGAATAAATAAAATAATTAAAAAAATATTAAGAATAACTTACAAATTGTTATCCATTCTTCTTATACGACCGACCGTGATATTTTCATATATACACTTCCCTCTACAGGCCCGGCATGGCCAGGTGGTTAAGGCACTCGACTCGCAATCTGCAAGTCGCGGGTTCGAACCCCTTTCAGCCGTGGGGGCGTTATAATGTGACAGTCACTCCCACTATTAATTGGTAAACGAGTATCCCAAGAGTTGGCGGTGGGTGGTGATGACTAGCTGCCTTTCCTCTAGTCTTTCACTGCTAAATTAGGGACGGCTAGCGCAGTTAGGCCTCGTGTAGCTTTGCGCGAAATTCGAAACAAACAATCAAACAATTTTTCGTCGAAATCGTCTTATTACTTGTCTGTCTGAATTTTTTACGGGTGAGGAAACACGGAATGGATTCTGTGACCCGAATACCTAAACTGTTACTACTACTACGTTAAAACAACCGTTAGTGGAGTTAGGGGTTATTTATATTGATAATTTATTTATTTATACTTTTCTACTACAATTAAACATTATATATGTCGATTTTCTTAACAGTCTAAAGAAATAAGAATTTAAAATCATGGATTGTTTGTTTTGTAGTTAAGCACAAAGCTACACAATGGGCTATCTGTGCTCTGCTCACCACGGGTATCGAAACCCGGTTTCTAGCGTTGTAAGTCCGCAGACATACCGCTGTGTCACTGGAGGGGGGGCTAAAATCATGGAACAACAGTGAACAGCTCAACTATTTCTTTATAATTCAGTATTAAAATCTGTTCGGTCAATATTTTGAGGACAGAAGTTGATAGAGTAGACCTAATATATCTTTTTTTTTAAGTCCCTCGGTAGGTCAACGGTAAGTTTACGGACTTACAACGCTAAAATCTAGGGTTCGATTCCACGTGGTGGGCAGAATACATATAGGATATGCTGTAGTTTTGCGTTAAAACAACCAAATTTTTTATCTTTTTTTTGTTTTTTACGAAAACTCTGTAACGAACTGAAGAGTAAATTAAATGACGGAATTGGTTTTATATGTTACTAACGAACAATAAATAGAAACTTTTATGTTCGCGTTATACCATGAAAGAATGAGTTTATAGTGCTATATGTAGAATTCTCTGGTCATGAGACCGACGAGTTTCGCATATGTGGATTTAGAAACGTCTTTCATTACGTGGAATATCATTGTGAATCAGGGTAAGAAAGAAAAGGGGTGTTTGAGATGGAAAATTAGATACCTAAATATGAATAGCAATTTTTATTTTATGAAAATATCCGTAATTTTATCACTAAATAAACCACCGACTTTTTGACGAAGAATAACCGCAAAAAACTGCCCCCAAATTAAGTGATATCACTAATGTTTTATATAAGAATACGTAAAGCAGCCAAGTAATAATTATGCGTCTTAGGAGGATTAATCACTATGTTTCTTGTATTTTTGTTTACATTTTTTTGTGACTTCTGTTAGGTGTCATGTAATTAACAAAGCTATTATTAGTTTTGGTTATTCGAGTTTCGCAAAAGTAAGCAGCAGCTGCTAGTAGAATTAAGCGAATTTCAAGCCTTATGAACCTGAACGTCAGTATAAATTCACATACAAGTATAAAACATCTGAGCCACCACTTGCAAGTTAAAAACTGCTCAGCCACTTCTTGCAAGTTTAAAATAGTTCAGCCACCTCTTGCAAGTTTAAAACAGTTCAGCCACCTCTTGCAAGTTTAAAACGGTTCAGCCACTTAATGAAAATTAGAAACAGTTCAGCCATTTCTTGCAAGTTTAAAACAGTTCAGCCACCTCTTGCAAGTTTAAAACAGTTCAGCCACCTCTTGCAAGTTAGAAACTGCTCAGCCACTTCTTGAAAATTAGAAACTGCTCAGCTACTTCTTGCAAGTTTAAAACAGTTCAGCCACCTCTTGAAAGTTTAAAACTGATCAGCCACCTCATGCAAATTAGAAACTGCTCAGTCTCCTCTTGCAATTTTAAAACAGTTCAGCCACTTCTTGCACGTTTAAAACAGTTCAGCCACTTCTTACAAGTTTAAAACAGTTCAGCCACCTCTTGCAAGTTTAAAACAGTTCAGTCACTTCTTGCAAGTTTAAAACAGTTCAGCCACTTCTTACAAGTTTAAAACAGTTCAGCCACGTCTTGCAAGTTTAAAACAGTTCAGTTACCTCTTGCAAGTTAGACACAACTGAGCCAGGTCTTGGAAGTTAAAAATAACTCAGACACCTTTTGCAAGTTGGAAAAAGCTCAGCCATATCTTTCAATTTTAAAATAACTGAACTACTACTTGCAAATTTAAAACAGCCTGCCACCACTTGGAACTTAAAAAAAATGATGGCGATTAATCTAAAAAAATACTCTGGTTGTTGTCTTAATTATAGATATTTCCGGATAAATCGAATATTGAATAAAATAATAATTTATTTTTTTTTACAAACTTTAGACCACGTGGACCCAAATCAATGAACTAACGCCAATCACCATGATGCCACAAGTTACATCACTGAACGTCCAGTGTGAGAAGACTGGAATGATGGTCTTTGTCGAGTTTGATAGACCTTTCAATGGGATTGTTTACTCTAAAGGACACTACAGCAGCCCTGGCTGCCGGTAAGTACAGATTCCTTTTGAAGTAGTACGTACATATTACATAGACTTATGGATAAAAACTCGTCTTGTTTCTTTCAAAGTAGATATATACAGTATATGTAAAATGTTTTTCAACATTAATTCGACCCAAATAACATATTATAAGACTTATTGCTTATAGTTTTAATAAATTAAAACCTATCCCAAAATGATTTATTACGCTGTACTTACATTGGCTACAATGTTATTCTTGTCTTGAATTGACCATTATACGTAATTCTCAAAATTTTAAAACAAACCAAAAGAGCTTCGTTTAAGCAAAACTTCATAATACTTGTCTTGGATTTACATAATTACATGTTATTTCCGTGGCATATCCTTGCAAGTGTTATCTTTCCTATCTTAAGTTCTATTCTACTGATACTTATGCACGTATGTAATCTTTCCGCACGTTATTTTTACATTTTATATATATTCTGCTTTATTTACTCCACGTTTGTCTTTCATGCATTTTGCCATCTACATACGGAAAACGTCTAACACTCGTATTTGCACTTCGTGATATTTAATTAAGCCGTTTATCTAAATTATTATCCGTACTTCTACACAAACTCGATAGTTACTTGTCGTGTTATTTAACTTATCAGTATCAGACACTCCATCTCAACAGAATCTTCATTGGAAGTATTCGTTTTTATTATCTTATACATTATTAGTTTTACATCTTTTCGCTTGTTCTTTACCAATACCAGTCTCAAAAACATAACTCATTAGCAGAAGTTATTTATTCTTACATTATTTAACACATCGGTGTGAAATATTTTTTTACAAGATTTAATTTTTTCTTACACTTTTAATGTGCTGCTACAATGATATGAAATATTCTTCTTCTTCTTTAACATATTTTTTTTAAACTTTTTATGTGACCTCTTCTGATGTATTCATCGTAAAAACGTTTAATTAATGCCATAACTTTTCTTCTGTTAATAAATACAACTGTATGAAGTATTCTTTGTTCCAGTACTATTTTTTTTTGCACCTTTTATGTGTTATTTAACATATAAATCTGAAATATATTTTGTTACCATAAACGTAACTAATTTTTGGACGTTTCTAAGTATTTTGTCACATCTACTCAAAACTTCCTCTTAAACAATCTTTCTTTGTTTTCGAAATTTGTGTTTTTATCACGTTTGTCTGAAATATTCTTCCATGATAGACATAGCCTTTTGTATTTTAATAAACACAACCATGTAAAATATTCTTTCTTGACAGACATAGCCTATTTTTACACTCTTTTGTATGTTAATAAACACAAACATGTGAAATATTCTTCCTTGATGGACTTGACCTATTTTTACACCTTTTGGTACGTCAAAAAAAACATGTGAAATATTCTTCCTTGATGGACTTGAACTATTTTTACACCTTTTGGTACGTCA